TTTTATGGAAACAACAAGACTTTGGACAAAACGTTTACGAATGACGTGTTCTTTAGTTTATTTCTCTGGGTGTATAGAATAATTACATGCACTTGGTTTGGGTTAGGGAAGTAGCGTGGTCACGTAAGTATGATATGGTTTAGGTGGTCAAACTGAGACACTTGGATAAGGGCGAAAGAACATCATGAACATATTTAAAAAGGTCTTCTTTGAATGCAAACCACAGCCTCCAACATACAATAAAGGGCATATAATACACCCTCTAACTGTCTAAGGCGCTAGTGTAAAATATATCTTTTGTCAGGGCTACTTCACAAACACTTCCCTGAATCCATTTTAAAAGATGCTGTCCAAAGCATTACCTTTTCTTTCCACTATCTTTCACTACTTTTGCCTTATCTTGCTGTGTATTTGTTGGTTTCTTTTTTTTCTGTTATAGGTGACAATTTGAACTTTAAACATAAAGGGTATAATATTTAGTTTTAAATTGTCATTTGCCTGGTCAACATTTTTGATCATGCTGAAATCCATGGATGGTTTCTTATGTAAAAACAGAGGGGCGCTGTAGATGGCCCCTCCCCTCCTCCGTGCCTCCTGTCAGTCACAGTGCCCAGCTCTCAGTGGTCCTGGTGAGGAAGAGGGGTGCGCTGTGTGTTCTCTGGATGTGGGTGTACAGCGTGTGCCAGAGCTATCCCCTCAGATTGTCATTGGAGGCTCATGGGAAATTTACATCACGGGCCAAACCCACAAGGCATTCTCTATCATTTCAGCAGATTCCTCTTTTTCGTCCATTGAAGAAAGTGATTATCACACGCGCTACTTTCATTGGTTTTATGCTTCCAGCTCTGGTCCGGGCGTTCTGGGCTTCCCTCACTACTGCCTTTAAAAGTGCAGCTGTACAAGTTATAAAGTGTTCTCCACTGCACTCAACAATTGTTTTCCCTGCACTTTTCAAAAAACTGCACTTTAATAATCAGCATTTTAGATCTATGTATGGCGAAGACGGGACAAGATCTCATGCCACAAGATTGTGCACACATGTGGAAAATGCTCTTGGTTTTTTTCATGTGTTTACATTTGTCTCGGTAACACGGGTTAACACTGTTGAGTAACTACTGTATTTCTTGAGCCGATGGTTCCAAAAGCAGTGCAACAAAGATAGCACAAAATATTAAATTATATATTTTTTAAAAATGTGTCTCATTCCATCCCTACAGTGTGCTGTCATGAAATGCATTTAACGACAACTTTAGATATTCCTGGCGTATTACTGTCATACCTGTAATAGTACTATTCAATGTAGTGTGCTCTGTTTGTTTGTTAATGTTAAAAATGTTCAATAAAGAAAGCTGAAAAAACCCTACAACTTTAGCTGCATAGTTACTCCAGTAATATAAAGTGTATGCATAAAGTATTTCATTTCATCAACAGATCCTAAGGAGCACATCTTTTATTAAGAGAATGACGAGGTGCGGTAGAAAGACCAGAGATGATGGTTGCATCTGTTGAAGACATTTCCTTATAATGTACTTTTTCACCACAACCACATCACAGTCTGTGAAAGAGACCTGGCCACGAACACAGACAATGGTTGGCTTCTTCATAACACTATTCCTATTCAATATTGAAACACATCTTTATACATAATGCATACATACACTTTTCCTGATCATTTTAAAATTGCATCTTACTGAACTCAATAACTTCATAAAAAACAAACAAAAGCTTAAGCTTTCATAGGATTATAGCAGAAGATGTATAAAATTACATTCAATATAAATATTTTGCATCATCTTCAATAATGCAGCTTGTTACAATAAACCACCACTGATTTTTCACACTTGCCCTAAGATAAAGCACTAATAACTAAAAATAACTACACAGCACTACCGAAGCACAAACAACAATCACATTTAAGTTTATAATTGTCCATGTGACATTTATATAGACTATAGTTTTACACTGTAGCAATGGGCCCATAAAAAGGCCTGTACAGGCCTGGGCACAATGGACAGATCACCAGAGGATGGTTGTGATGAGGATGAGCTGGGAGAAGCCCAAAGTGGAGCACTAATCTGCTCTCCCTGGTGCCTGCACAAGACTCAAAGTCAACAGAGTGACTGAGCTTTGGGGGACTCAAGTAGGACTATGTGATATGACAAAAAATAAATACTTAAAAATTCCCTCATACTGATCACGATTTTCAATAAGATTTTGTTTTGTATAATAAAAACAAATAAAAGGGCTTCCAATATAAATTTCCTGAAATTGCAGTTTACAAAGAATAGTCAAATTTTCTCCTTTGAATGTCTGATGTCTGAGATGTGACTGCAGACCTTTCAAGTAGTAAAAATGACTGAATCTCAATCTCAATTAAAATTTAATTAATTGCAAAGGCCTAGACTAAAGTGTCTACTGCAACACCAAAAACGATAGAATACAAAGTAAAAGATGCTCCACTGATAGTAGATGGTGAGTCCCTTTGCCAAATACCATCACATTTGTTTGTGTAAATCCAGTGGCTGCCACCTGCACTGTTTCCACCGCGCCCTCAACCTGCGCCCATATGCTGTATGTGTGGTGGTGAATCTGCGCAGGGACTCAAAAATCCAACACGTTTTAATTACTGCCCGACAGCACTGTCCATGCCTTTGATATGGTAATAAAGCCAACCATCTCCACACAGACACTGTACAAATCTTCATCTGATTCATAAAAAACAATGAGGCACACTGATTCCTCCACCTGATCACAGTCCGGACCTGTGTCAGGAGCACATGGCCACCACGGCGCTCCCAATTAACTCTACATATTAATGTGGGACTTAAAAATCAACAGAGGCTACTGCTTACCACTGCTGAAACTGTTGCATTTTGAAGTCTGTGTTAATTATGCACAACTATTCTATGCACTATAGAAAATGTCCAATTATTTTGAGAAAAATATTTGGTTTGACTGACTGCTACAGATCAAAATGAGCCACTTAGGTTACTTGTGCAATTACAGAGTTTCTGTGAAGATACAAATTTATATATTTTTTTTAAATCCACAAGCCTTTAATGTTGGCAATACTGTTCACTAACAGCAAGCTGGCCCTGCCCTGTGGCTGCTCAGCACAGCTCACACACAGTGGTGCTATTTGTTACTGGTAATGTGTCCTCAGCTCAAGTTTAGTCAATGACGTTAGGGGCAATGAGACTAAAATGCTAAAAATAAAATGAAGGCTGTTCGCTCATCATCACAGACATCAGTGAGATAAGTGAATGTCTCTGTTACAAAACCACTTACTAAAGACGGACAACAATTACAAACTGTGACGGATGTGCATTAGAGGATCTAACAATATGTTAAGTTCAAATTCAGCACTGACCTAAGAAAAAAAAACACCAACCAGATGTTTCTTGTTCTACTAATACACTTGCTTTACATGCCCTGCATATCGTCAGTCATATTAAATTACATTACTCAAATCATTACTGATACTGAGCGTATTATAAATAATGTCAGCCACTCTTTGTGACAGAAAACATGTATTTTGGCATGTGCCCATCAGTTTGGATCATTGTTGAAATATTCTACAGCAAATTAGATAACACTTAGAAAGACAGATGTCACAACATGTGCTGCCACATTGATTATGTGGCCCGTCTGCCGCCCCCCTCCTCTACCTTTATGCGGCCGGCTGTTGTTTACTCCTCACATCTTGTTTATCATCAGGTCTTAGACACTCCTCACCAACATGAAGAGAGCTCACTTGTGCACCCTCACACGCCCGCTCTGGCTCTGCCTCAGCCCAGCAGCTCTGCCACTTGAAACCAAACCAGGACATATGGAACTACACAAAGCTTTTGGTAATGATCTCAATAACAATATTATAGTTCTATCACTGCTGCTATGTGATTCTAACAGGAGTAAAGTCAAATACACCACAGGTCAGAAGATAAAGTTAAATAAACAATTAAAAGCCTATAGTTTCTCTTTGGAACTGTAGTAAAATAATTAGCATCCTGTATTCTACACAAAATTATATTATACGAGCTCCTCTATAGAACATCCTTCTGTGGGTCACTTTAAACCAAATGGCTCTGTTGCTGTTATACCAGATGCTCTTATTAAGGAAGACAATAATTCAACCACAAATATACGCATAATACACCTGAGCAAGAACACTTTTTAGTGTAAAAAAATTGAAATAAAAATGCCACATTATGAAATTAAAAGCAAAGAATTCATATTGAAACTGCTTCCAAACTTTGAAAGGATTAGTTACACCAGCTGTAATATGATATAATACTTTTCTAAAATTATAGTAATTTAATGCAACTTCTGGCTGTGCTGTGGACTCTGAACTGAAGCTACCCCTTTGCTCACTGCAGATTAAATCAGATTGTGTTTGGATGTAGCCGACAAATATGCTCTGTATAAAGATGAGAAATTAGATAACAGACCACTGTGCCTGTCATGAGACAGATGAGCCTTAATGAGTTCTTAGGCAATGTTTTTGTGCTTTTGGCCACTCAAAGACCAATCACAATTTATGGATAAACAATGACCAAAGTTTTTAAAGTATTCGAACAGTTTCTTACACCGTGAAAACACTTTATGCCCTCTTTTTATTATCCCCATCCCGTCCATTCTTTCATTCTCTGCATTTGCTTTGATCCCACTAATTGCTGGCACATGAGCTTAGTTTAAACAAATCCTACCTGCAGAGATGAGGACAGTTAAAGGTTACACAGAAGTAAATTCACTGTGTGACACCTAGTCTAAACAATTTAAAGTGTCTCTTTCCTGCACATTTGTCTCCCCCCGAATAGATAGTTTTTAACAAATAATCATTATAATTCAAGCATTAATGTATACACACTGAGTAGCAGTGTTGCTTTTACAGCGCAGTAAACAGTGTTCTTGGACAGAAGCAGGATGTGTTTAGACAAGCGAGCCAGGTGGCTTCTCCACACATGCCAAAATAAAAAGTGCTCAAATCTTTTTGAACTTACTGGTTCATGAGCGTCACAGAGTCTGTGTGTTATGCTGGGGTCCAGGTGGGTAACGCACTCTTTCTCAAATACTGAAAAAATGTTCAAGCCACCACCAAAGGTCCGATCCTTGAAGAAACAAAAAAAAGGAAAAGTTTATAAATATAAAGGATTTTAAAAGAATATATATTTCACAGTTTTAAAGAAAAGTCTGTGTGGGCTTTTTATAATTGTAGTGTAAATGTTGTTAATGACTTTATATATTGTCACAATAAAATTAAACAACAAAACTTGAACAAGTGCAGGACAATAAAACATCAGTAAAACGTTGTTGAAGACGTCGTGTGAAAAAGATCACATTTTGACTAAACGTGAAATCAAAGGGCACTGTCGGCTATTGGCGCTTTTCGCTCTTTGCTCTCCTCTTTTCGCTTTTTTGGTTGAGCAACAACACACAGCCTCAGGTCAGAGACAAACTCCAGTGAGAGACAGAGCCGTGTGTCCCTGTATAGCAGCCCGGACAATGTGCTGAATGGGCAGTCTAATTATAAGTGTGCCATTTAGTCTTGGGTACGTTTGGTCTTACCTTATCGGGAGACCTGCGTTCACAGCTTCAGCAAAGAGCAACTGTACTACTCAACTACATACCACACGAAATAAACGCCTTGACACGGCACGACACACCACCGCAGCTTTTCATTTCAGAGTTTAGACAAGTCAAAGTGCAAAACATACTCCCCCTTTTGAATGGTAATATCAGGTTTAAGGAAAGGTGCCCAAGGTGTAATTGCGCTTTAATGAATTAGTCACAGGTATGTTACGGTTAAATTCCATCACAATGGCATGTGATTAGCGCATTTATACACGTGTTTAAGCCCAATCATAACTGTTCAACTTCTCTATTAACTCTCGCGATAATTAACATTTTTATATTATTTTGTATGGTGTGAGAAAAGGGTTTGATCTGATATTTTGTGTCGTGCTAAACAATTGTAAATAAATGTAGGTTGAAAATTTTTACAATTTTAGCATTTTTTTCTTGGAAATAATTTTTGTTAATTATTGCCAAGCCATTAAATTGAGTTAAGGGTGAATATTCTTAAAACGTTTATTATTTTTTTATGTAATTGCCCAAAATTAATGCGCAAAGGCAATAAAATAATGAGCCCGTATTGAGCTCATTTACTCTTGGCACACAGAGGGAAAGTGTGGCAAGTCGAGCGCGCTGCAATGGGCTTAAATGGGAAACTGTTCAAGTGCATCTTCTTCTCTAAATGGACAAGCTTTCTGTTGCGATTGTTGAATTTAATTTATGGCTTATGCATTCTTTAAAGGTCAATTCCCCTGACCCCCGGAGAAAGTTAAGGGAAGAGCAAATTCCCAGGCTGCACGGGGCCCAACTGTTTCTCTCATTTTAGAAGAAGACAAAAAATAAGTCGCTGTTAGTTGGATGTAACGAGTGTAATGAGAGGAGGAGATAAACTTATCCACTTCGTAGGCTGATAGGAGACCTATAAGACACGCGTGCGTCACTGTCAATGAATGGTACCCCTTTGTGGACACAAGTGAAACTGCCGCCAGCTGGGGTAGCCTACACACAACCAGACGTGTGATATTTTTTAAACTTAAAGCGCTGTACAAGTTATAAACACCAATTAACTAGGCCTATATATAAAACTCTAATTTAATGCGCGCTGTGGAGTGAACCCCATTGACAGCTGTTCTCGAACTGACAAAGTTAGGCTCTTTAAGTGTCCGGTTACCTCCAGTGTTCATCTTAACGTAAGGCGTCATCCAAAATTATTACAAAAACATTATCTGAGTCAGTCCGTAAAGCGTATTAAACGGTTATCTCCGCGTGCGTTTGCTTTGGTCTATATTTAGCGCCACTGGTATTTTTCAGCGAGTCCGCTTCGGGGACAGCACGCACCACTCTCGCTTCTCATGTTAGTTTGTTTAGTTTGAAGCGCGCACAGACTGAAAGCCAGAATTAAAAGTTGCAAGCGTCACTTCAGAATAAACTGGGGTTAAAAGTTGACAAGTTATTCACTTTTTGCTCGCAAAACGAGCGCGCGTAATGCCCGCAGTTTTCAGTGACAGCGGGTTAATCAGCGTAAAGGGGTGAAGACGTATCAGCGTTAAGTATTGGAAAAACGTGGTTGTTTACCTTGTTGGTCACAGTCGTAGATGTGCGTCCTTTCCTCCGTGTGTAAAGACTAAGACGACTTTGCAAAAAGCGATCACTTGATTGTATCTATTGAGCGGAAAAAACTTAAGACTGCTTAACACGGGGCCATATGAGGGGATCCCGTAGGCTCACTGACTGACTTGACTGTGAACACTGCGTGCATGAGTGAACTGTCCAAAACTACAACTACCTTTTGTTGTATCGCCTCTCGCTATCTCTCAAGACAAGTAGAAGAAGAAGATGGTGCGTAGAGCCGCTGTCAATCTTGGCAATCAATGCGCGCAGCCATGTCGCAAGTATTCAAAGCATTTCCCGTCGTGCAACATCAGAAAGTGAGTGGCCAGAGAGCATTGATCTGAGGAAGGCAAAGAGGCAGGGCTCCCCTCCTCCTCCCCCTCTGCCCACCCTCTCCTCACCCCAAGACAAGAGAGCGAGAGGAGTGTATAGAGAAAAGGATATGTTACTGTCCTTTACTTAAATAAACGCCACTTACTTACACAGTTAAAGTTGAGGAGATTACTTCTTCTACAGTTGTTTTAAGGTCACAAATGGAAAAGCGTTTCTATTGACGACGACGCGCTCCCGTTACTGACCTTCTCAAACTTCAGTGAAAGTGTTTCAAACAGTAAATAATCAGCTGCTGCTGCTCGAGGAAATAAAGAGAGCAGGTGAGAGACGCGCAGTGAGAGCCTGAAGAGCTTGAAGACCTGTTTGGACATGTGCGTCTGTGAGAACTGTGCGTGTGCATCAATTAAACCAGTCCAAAATTATATTAAATTGCGCGCCGTAAGTAAAGCTTTTATAACCTTACCAATTAGTTGATCCACGCCACCCGTCCCAAAATCTATAACACTTGCCAATTAAAAATATAAAATAGTAGTAAAAATAATTTTGGAATTATAAAAAAAGGGGGAGGGAAAGATTATTTGATTATTTTTACTTTTTTCTGAAAAAAATAAAATTGTAAACATGTTATAAATGCAAAACAATTAATACACATGCATTTGTTAAGATTCTATTAAGTCACATGTGCAGGAATTTAAGTGCGCTCTGTTCTTTTGTTGTAATGAGTTCAAGTGGGTCAAAATTCATCCCTGATCCGTCTCCTATAAGTACTTTTTATTTTAATAACTATTCTATATTTTTGTTCCCTATTTTTAATTCTTTTACAATTGTTATTAGTTTTACGCACGGCTTTCCAGTGCGATAAGAATCTTCCTTGGTTGGATTTATTCATACTATGTTCGGAGTAATTTGATACTATTTCAATATTTGTCCTCACATATTAGAAAAGCGCCTGTATCTGATATTAAATCAAAGGTCCAGCGGTTGACCCAGACGAGCCACCGGTGGAGAGCACTTGCCAAAACAGAAGGCTTCACAATGAAACAATTCTGTGCATTGAAAGAACATGTGTTTTAAATTAACAGCTGAAACCTGAAAGAGGCCCGGCGCGCGTCAAACCAACAAAAAGTACATTGAGCCGCGTGCCTGATGTCCAGAGCAGCAAAAAGAGAAGACACAAGCCACACAACATAAGGAAAAGTTGTCATCTATAAATCAGAGGCATTTGGGGACAGAGACGTACCCAGACAGGAACTAAAACAAGTAAACAGTTAAAACATGCACAGCCTAAAATAATACAAAAAAGAAAGTTACTTACAAAAAGAGGAGACAGCTGAAGGAAATTGTGATTGTTAACTGCAGATACACATAAAGCTAAAGAGGGAGGAGAAGCAATGAGAAAGAGGCAGAGAGGAAGGGTGGAGAGAGATGGGGAGAAGGGTGGAGGGACAGGGAGAGAGAGCTACATACAATATGCCCATACAACGCTCTCCTGGGCGCCCCGCTCCTTTGGCTTTTCTCTCTTCTCAAGTGAAGGTGAAGTGGGCCACAGCCACAAACGAGCATCACAAAAATCCAGTCAGTGAATATGACGTTTTTCAAGCAGTTTCTCCTCCTCAAGTTCCTCTGGTTATTCTAGAGTGGAAACAAATATATACAAAACAAATAAAGAAAAGGAACCAAAAAAACCCCCAACTTTGCTAATACTTGAACTTGAACTCTTTAAACAATTACATCATTCACATTATCTAAAAATATATACTCTTTATTGTCATTATTATTATTATTATTTTATGTTGGATTGGGCCATGAATAACACTGTATTTCTTGGTGACATATTCTATGGCAAAATATGAGAGTGGTGGTTACTGTGCGTTGACTCTTGCGCAGATTTCTTTCACTTTTTCCAACCTGGACCAGCTGTTCTGCGTGTCCCATACGCCACCTTTTGGTAAACATCGGAATAGCATATAAGGTGCGCCCTAAGAGAGAGAGAACAGGAGACTGCGAGTAAGTTAGAAGAGAATGATAATTCCGAATGAGATGCAAATTCGGTTACACAATGAAAGGGCTTCAGCACTGATCAGTTTGGCATATGATGTGACTTTGACATTAGAAACAATAGCAATATAATACCATAATAATAACTCTAAGTTATTATGTAAGTTACGCAGAAGGGCTCTTTTCCAACTCGTGTCACATAGTGTAGCTCTCCAAACTGAAATGTGACTAATTGTAAAACAGAGCTGGTAATGGCTTCCTCGTAATAGCACTGAATTGAAGCCAGCGAGCAGAAGACAGTCCAACTTGTTGGGGGGTATAAGGCAGATGCATTTGCATATCCTGTGAGTCTTTGATGCATGTTGAAATTCAAGTCTAGCCCATAAATATTTGAAAAGGAGAGTGCATAAAAATCAACATTTTTGTTACATTAAATTAACATGTGTTCTTCTCCTGTTCTGCATGCTTAATTAGAGCACCCCATTCACTGAGTGAATGCCAGGGGGGCGCTGGTTTCATTATGGGACAGTAAGGGGGCTAAGGAGGGTACAGAGCTGAATCATGGTTAAGATATTTCACTCAGACTAACTAAGAACTAAAATACATAAATAGAAAATATTGTATTCTGTATCTTAAAGAAATATTTGCATAACTACGTTTATGATAGTGTAATGACAGCCTATATGGCCTAATCATATTTTCCAGAAGATTTCCACTCATAAAAAGACACATTTTAAAGCATTTTTGTGATGAATGTACTAAGAGATCAGACTGAAAAAAGTGCCAGACATTATAATCAATCTACAATGATATACAAAAAAGATTACAGACTTCTCTGAATGCAAGTTATGCAATTAACTCCAACAGTATTTACATACATGCAAATCATTCTCTCCCTCTTGGACTTGCAAAGTGGGGCGCTCTGTTCTCATTACTTGACCCAAATCTCAGACTTGTAACTCTGGATTTCATCAAAGTTTAGTCAGGATCTAATATTTCCTTTCAAGTGAACACAGAACCACTGATTAGTCGTGTTGGAATAAGGAGTGCAACATGCCAATTCTAATTATATACTTATCAGGAACATCAGTACATGGCCCCTGCCAACAGCATACAAATATTATAACTAATATAAGTGTGTGGGTCACACACTTGATCATTATATTGTCTTTCAGCAGAGCCTTTTGTCTCCTTAGAGCAAAGCCTTTGGTCTCCTTATAGGGTAAAATACGTTTCCCAGATGCTTAATAATTCTTCATATTGAAACATGCTACACTTTATTATGGATTTATTTTAATTAATAATCCATAATATGCCTGAATATTGTAATCTAAAAATGTGGAATATTTCTTAATAAAAAATGGGACGAATCATTGTTTTCTTCAGTTTAATTATTCATACACATCAACAAATCACATCCTCTAGATCCAGTTACTGAGGCTTTGACTCAAGAAGTAACTGCTTGTGTATATCTGCTTGTGTATATATTATTGTGTCTTAATGAAAACTCAACAATAATACTGTAAAAACAGTAGAAGAGGTGCCCTTTTAAAGCAGTATTTTCTTTATTTTTGTTTACATTTGATTTAGTTTTATGCTTTATAAATATTAGCTCTACTGTTAGTTCAGTAATTGAATTTTATAGACTACCATTCAATTTCTCATAGTGCTAATTCACTGTGTATCTTCAGCTGTGGAAACAAATAAGGTGGAGGCCCAGGGGCATTTGCTACAGTTTTACAAAGCAAAAAGCCCACCCCACTGTAGGTATTGTAAAAGTGGTGTTTATGCAATTGCTTTACGCAACAGAGGCTCTGAATGATTCATGCAGAGAACTGTGTTTTCTTTATTATGCAATTTAAACAGCTCCTCTTGCAATTAATATTAAACGCTTCTATTTTGCTGCATCTCCCAAATCACAAAGCCTTTGTTTAGTTACAGCAAATAATAGTCAGTGTGCGCCTCAGAGCAGCCTGACTTCTCTATTCTTTTTATAGCAGCACACTGGGAAGACTGTTCACTGATTCAGTGAATACCTCTTCAATTATTCAACAAATCACCATTCCATTTCTTACATATTAAAAAATGTACTGTGCATAGAGCTTTAAGATGATAAAACAGCATAAAATACTGTTTTAAAATCAAAGCACCTATTGCATTGGGCTTCCTTGGTTTTGTGTTTGTACAATTGGAGTACAATCCAGATCCCACAGTGCAAAGGAGGCGCAGGCTGTCTTCTCTCCATTCTAATCCTCCGACGATCGCAGTCAAAAGCAGGAATATTATTTATGTGATGGAAAAATAATATATGACTGGGAATCTTTGTACCAGGGGAGGAGGAAAGGTCTTACAGAAGAAATGCTCAGAACAATGTAGATCTCTGGTCTAAAATCCAAACGAGAACCCACTGGAGAATCAATGAAGTTTCATGTATCTCAAGTTTGACTAAAACACAACCTTTGCTTTGGGAATCTACAAAACAATTTTATTCACACTTATTATTATTTACTCAAGTTATCAATAGCAGAATCTCTTATATCTTCTGTCAATATGAGCATGTCTTCTTAAAAACAGTATTTCTGAAGCCAGTAGGTATTTAGTATTTAGCCTTAATGCGGGAGGCCTTGATTGCATTTAACAGAACAGGACACAATTAGCATAATAGCCCCTCTCTCATTCTCTTTGAAGTCCACAGCATAGAATAACAAATGTATATGAACCAGCAGCCAAACGTCAATACATGGAAATGCCACAATCCTCTGCGGAGGCCATGGGGTGAGTTCTCGCTTTTGAGGGAGGAGGGAAAAACATGCCCATTTTTATTGCAGAATAAGCAGAAAGCGAAGATGCTGTGGGTGATGTAGCCACCAGGGCCAATGTGCGCTGTGGGGCCCTGGCTCCTGGAGGACACAAGGAGGCAGAGAGAGGATGTGTGGGAGCCCATGTGGAGCACAGGGAGGTGCATCCCCTTCTCTCAGGTGTTTCAAAGCACACCAGGCCGCCAGCCAGGGAAAGTAATTACTCTCCAATTAAAGATAAAGATGTCACGCGGGAGGGCGCAAAACAACAGTGGACCCTCAGACGCGTAAAGGAAGTCAAGGCAATACCAGGAACCACTATCACCTCTCTTATCTCGCTCATAACTACAATATGATAGGGCTTTTCTTTGTAAAACATTTTCCCTTTTGAAACCTGAAGTTCAATACATGTTTTTGTCAAAGGTTTCTTTTACAATTGCAATGGAGACACGGTTCAAAATTCAAAGAAATGAATGCTATACTTCAGAATCCAGAGTTATTAGTATCCACCTTCTTTCTTGGGTGAAAATACACGAAATTAAAAATGCCCTTTTGAGAAGGAAAAAGCTTTGAACTTACTTACATTTCAAGAACCTTCTTTTTTGTATCGAAAGTTCACCTCCTTTGAGCCCACCATAGTTTGGCTTCTCTTTTTTCACATAATAGAATGAAGTTTATTAGATCAAGGCAATCAATGCAGATGTTCAAAGAGAATTTCAGACCTATGATGAGTGCACATTTTGTTCTAAGGCTTTGTGCATGATTTGAATAAAGATATAAATTATAGCAGGTGGAGGAAATAAAGTGGATAGAGTAACCTGAGCCTTCCTATAGGTTAAATAGTCACAGAAAAGATTCAAATGTGTTAATATGTTTTATTATTCACATTCATATAAAGTTCTATTGTGCAACTGTTCCCAGTCGCACAAAAATAGGTTAAATGTTATATTCAGTCCTAATATAAGCAGAAAAAATAAAATTTATCTTGGCAAGCTAAAAGGAGACTGGCAGTGCGGCAGTAGATACTGCACATACATGACATTTCAAGTGGTTTGGTGTAAAATAGTCTCTGACAAAGAAAATAATATTTGTACCATTTGCTTTAAACATTCAGTACCTGGGAAACAAAGCTGGAAGTGAAGATCACACAGCGATTCAAAGTAATTCAGTCAAACATGTAAAATATGAGATAAATTCCTTATCAGTATTCAGTCACTCAAAGTGCAAGAACATGTTGAAAATCGCTTTCATTAGAATAACACTTGTTAGGCATGTCCATAGTCAAAAAGCAGAGCCGCTTCTACAGCCCAGTCTTCAGTGTCACAGAAAAAGTGGCTTTGAGCTCCTTAAATACGAGGCTACATGTGAGCTTCAGTTCAGCTCTCCTGCTCAAATATACATTTCACTGTCCAAAGTCAGACATGATCCACACATGGCGAACAATACAGTAGCTTGTTGAATAGCACCTCAGTGTCCAGAAATTGCTTGAGCTGTAGAGAAAGAGATAGAAGAGGCACAGTATTAGATAATAACATATTACTTTAATAATTTAAAACACATTTAAAGTGGGTAACAACTTTGTCCTAAAGGGGAAACCTGTTCTGCATTTGACAAATTAAATCTGTCACATACAAATAAAAACATACTAGTATACTGAAGAACACAAACAACACTAGGTCTATTTAAAGCACTTTTAAAAAAGAACTTAAATCTGGACATGCGGTCACAAGCGTCACACACAACTCACAGATGAGAACGCATATGCCGCAACCACAAAGGGCAGATTCATGCACAACCCAAATCAAGACACTTTGATGATAATGACAAAGATCATTTTTTGGGTATTCTCTGGGATTTTATTTTGAATCACACTTTTGAATGTAAAAACAAACTCTTCTGTACATTTTGGTAACTCATGTAATAGTAGTACAAAGGTTGGACCAATTTCTTGAAGCTTTGTGAAGAATATTTACAGTACTTTGAATTACATATACAAGAGATAACATCTCAAAACAAAAAATTCAATTCTGTCAACTACACAAACGTTTTAGAGTGAAGACCCTCACCCAAGTGGTAAATATGATAGAGACAAGCAGTAGTGCACCTTTGAGATATTTATATTTTAGATCCAAAATAAGCATAGATCTACAAATTTCAAGGCCTTGTTTTGACCAGGTACACTAGACTTGGTGTGCATAAACATGACAGTGGAAACCTGGAGTGCTGACTTGGAGACTACGTTTAAATGCCCACCAAAAATCTGAGCGTTATCTGATTTCTGTAGTACTCTGAGTACATTCAGACACATACAATAGGTAATTATTATCAGATTTCAGATGTGTATGTGCCAACAAAAGGATTTCCAGTTTCCTTTCTATGTAAATGTAGCTGCTGACAGAAAACCTACCATACAATTAATATATGGGCACATTAATTTAATTTTTAACTCAGAATGTATCTATCAGTGGGATAAAAACTGAGTCAAATGTGGCAGATAATCTTTATTTCTTCTGTGAAATGTACAGCAGCGATTAGATTTGTGCCTTTGTACAGTTGTAAAGAGTGATGAGAACAGGTACTTCCCTGACTCGGCGCTCTACAGATGGGGAGCTAATTGGTGCGCTGGAATGCCGCTGTGCAGACGGCTGAGGAGTGGAGGCGCTAAATCAAACGTGTCTCCTTTGTTAATTATACACAATGCTACAAACAGCTATGTTCCTCTGAGCCCTTTCTTTTCTCATCCATAAATATTTTGGCAGCCAGACAAGAGAGGGGAGAGAAAAAGAACAATTTACACACGATTATCACAGTGGGATGAGCCGGCTGCCTACAGATGTTTGTTTTGATTTGAATAGGAGACAGTGGAGCTAACGTAGACGGTGTAACAGTCACAACAGAGGTGTAGTGAGCGTGCTGAGAAAGCCAATCCACACAAGACAATTAGGAAAAATTATTAGCAGCATGCACTTAGTCCTTACTTTATTTCAGACAAACGTGTAGTGGATCCCATTGCTTACAGGGGAGGCAGGAGGGAGGGATACAGGAGGGAGAGGAGGGGGAGGAGGTGGAGGGGGTGGAGGGGGTGAGGGCAGAGGTGGGGGGGGTTGGAAGGTTAGACTGTGGTGGGACTGCACAGGACAGAAAGGACAGACAGTAAGAGTTAGTGGACAGAGACATACTGTATACTCTGGTACAATCCCTTAATCAGAATCACTTTTTTATTCATTATTTATTTAGGTGTTCTGCGTAATATGGTGACTATTTAAATCTGTACCACAATTATCAATCACAAACAATATATTCTCTATAATCAATGAGATACAGAGAGTTGGACTTTATAAAGACAAATACTTCAGCTTCCTGTTTACGGACTACATTTCAGGCACTTTCCACCATTAAAAAGATGGAAACTGCGATTTTTCATCACACCAAAACCCAGGGATATACAGTCTATATAATCTATGTCTACTCCTTGAAATGTATCGTTCTATCTGTATGATAATACACTACTGCGTGATAATAGACTACTTTAACAGCCAAAAAGAAGAATTTTGCAGACTTTTTTTTTTTTAAACAGTAATTGTAATTGCTGGTACATATCTGGACATATTATCACTTATTTTAAATTGATTAATGGATGTATACATGTATGTATTTCTTCGCACATGTAGGAGCCAAAATGAGATGCTTTTCAGTCATATATGTAGTTGGGAATGGGAATCAGTTAAATACAGAGAATTTGAAAAAACACACTTTTTATTGTATACATATAAAGAATCACTTGTAAAAGAATATAAAAAGTGTTTTTGGTAAAAGTGGGTTTTCTGGCTGTATCTCATATTTTGCATGAGTGTTAATTAACAAACCATTTCCTATCGGGAAACATTCATCTCTCCTATTCACATAACAAATATAAGTGCTTAACATTTCATTGCCAGTCAGTTAACGACCTTCCTTTACTGTGATTTAGGCTATAGACATTAATAATACAAACAGTTCCGCTACTAAATAAAAAGTAATGAATGAATGACTGAAGAGGACGCTACAAAAGTTTGTTTATTCGGTTGATTTTTTTTAGCAGGAAAATTAGAAATTCTTTTTTATGTTTCAGCAACGTAATTACAATGTTGTGAATTATTTAACTACTTAGAATAACACATTCAACAATCTGGACTCTCAATATATAGAGTGCGTAATTGCAGACCTGCATATTTCAACTTTTATGCTGCCATTATTGAAGTATCTCATGCATAATACTGTGAAAAAAACTCTTCTTTTAATTCAGGGATTTGAAAGTGCACTAGCATACCTTACTCGAACACCAAAGGAGAGAAAAGTCATTGATTCAATCTCCACTGACAAGATGCCACCAGTTATATTCCCTGACATTTCTCAATGCTGGAAATAATGTTATAATTGTTGACTTTGCCTCACTGTGCATATTAAGGCTGGGCGCGCGCTGACAGCTTGAGTGTTACAGTGTGTGACAGGTACGTGTGCAGTGCGGAGTGTGTGAGCGGCGCCCAAAGACAGACAATCTGAGGCAGCTCAAATGAAAATGAACTCTCCTGCCTTTGCCCGTGGAGTATGAAAGAGATGAAAAGTGAGCACAGTGTCTTTTATGCAGGTTCACAGCGAGATGTTCAAAGGAGCAAGTGATGGTATGCACAAGGAGAGTGGGCTTTGACTGGGTCATTGATCAGAACACAAAATGGCCTCATCAAGCGATTCCTCCCAAGTCTGAAAGATTTTACATGGATCGCAATTAGAGACGATCCAAGCTCCTAATAAGGAATAATGTTTGGTTATTAGGAAATGAACAGCCATATTGCTTGACTCCGCACCTCACGCCCCTCTCATCTCTTACGCTATCAAGCACCCAACATTACTTAAAGGCTGCTTCCCGCTCTTTATACTGTCTTAAACCTGCGATCTTGTCAATTTGACGTTAGAAGAAGTTTAACGGATGCCACCGGTACAGCAACTTTTTTTCTTCCTTTTGACACAAATGAATGTTGAACTAGGGTTTTCTAGCTCCTTATTCAAAAGTGTATTTATTTATACATCAGTTGAATGAAATGAAATAATAATTAAAGCACAGTGTGTGACCAACCTGCTACCATTTTGCTCTTGAGTGAGGCCTCTGAGGCAAGTGCATAGGACATAGTGATGATCCTCTCTTGTTCCTGAAGAGCAGAGTCCAGAGTCCCCAGACCCAGGTCCGGTTTGTCCACAGACACAGCAGGGGCCAGATTCTGCACACTGTTGCACCATTAAACAATAAATATGAAGATACAAGAAGAAACGCTATATATTTTACTTCAAAAACAGTACAAACTGAGGAATTAACTTTGCACAAACAACAGAAATTAAAAAGAAAAATATTTGCTTTACACAAATCTCTTAAAATATAGTATATTTCAGCTAGTTTATTTGTAATCCAACACAAATAAAAACAACTGAAATAAATAGATAACTATAACTATTAAACAAAGGAAAAATTATGTTATATTTAATAAGGTGACGTTTGATATAGGCGACTATGTCTTGTTTGAGTTAATATTTTACCTGGACTTTGCCAAAATGCTCTTGATGCGTTGAACTTTGCGCTGCCGTTCCTCTGCCTCCTCTGGACTGAGTGGTTCTTCAGGCTCTGACTCCACATACCGTTCTGGGATCAACACCTTCTGAGGCTTAGACAACTGCACACAAGCAGACAATAAAGTCAATACAACAAAATAGAACATGCAGTGATCTGTGTGTATTGATCAAAACCTGTATTTTTTTACTTCTGTAAAATTATATTGGCTAGGTGTTATTAATTAATGGTGTTTATCAAATTGTGGGGACTAAAATCTGTGTGCATACACAATATCACATCCCAAGACCTAAATTCTTTATTATCTAATCAACAACATGATTTAAGGTTAAAAGTTTAAGGCTATGTGTTAGTACTTGCCTAACCTTAACCTAACTGTTTAAATGTGTGTTCTGAATCATTATTTAAAAAAATACATTTCAAATCAATATGGTCCTCTCAGCATTAAGTATTTTTGCTTATCCTATCTTTTCCTCAAATTTCTCACCTCTTTACTCAAGTCCAGGTCATACTCAAGTGGCTCTAATTCCCCTTCTTTAGTGGGCGTGTCTGTAGATCTAAAAGTCAGCCATTCATCTGAGTGGGAGCGGGGTCTCTCCTTGTGCTCTGGGGGTCTCTCTTCTCCCTGGACGCTGCGCACTGACTCCTCCCCCTGCACGGCCCGCTCCAGCAGCTGCAAGTCAAAGTCCTGCTCTCTCTTCAACTGGACAACGCACAAGGGGAGAAAAGAAGACTGTGAAACTAATTACAGAATGCCATCATCACCTCATCACAGGAAAACTGATTTTTCACACATTGTTTCAAGTAATAAGCGCACTTGTTATCACCCACATCCTGATTTTATAAGTGGCAAGACGGGTGTTGGTATGTGTGTAAGTGTCAAAAAAGAAAGAGGGTGGAGCATGCATAGTTGTTCAGTATGCATGCTACTGAGATACAAATCACAGCATGCTTTAAATACAGTAAGGACACATACACATAATAGAAACAAACAGGACAGACCCACAGACCTTGAGTATATAGATGCAAGAAATACATTTTGACATAGACCACACATCACCATTAAACATAAAGAAAAACATGGCAATATGGGTTCCTTAGAAACTGTTTATTCATTTAAGGACATTCACATATATTTTTGCTATTAAATGAAAATGAAAAACGAGCAAACTGAGCATTTTTATTTGCTATTATGCTTGGAGAAGAATACATTATAACCCTTAAAAGCTTTAAATTCATAAATTCATATAGGGCTATTCTCACAAAAAAGTGCTTGATCTTTTCTTTAATATTTCCTCCTGTTATATTTCAGTGCAAAAAGGTTTCGATGAGTAAATTTAGCTTGCATTGCTCAGTGAGTGTTTAAGTAGAAAATGAGTGGGGAATCATACATGCATATACAAATGAATGATCAGTAAAAGACAGCACAGCAGTAGGTGAATGGTGATTTTGTACAACACAGATTAATGGGAAAATAAAAAATCCACAAGAAAACAGTGCTATGAATGACAAACAAAGATCAGTAAAGGTTATTGAGTGAGGTGAGAGGTGAACAGTAGATCAGTTACAGAAAAATTGGGGAAAAGTAGAGATGTAGGAGCAAAGGCACTAAAGGCATCATTGAGACACATATAATTTGCTCATTTCATGGTTAAGATGTTATTGAAAACATATTCCACAATCCATAATTACAGTGTAAAAGTAAAAGTCTTGAAGCATTTTAGCTGTATTTTTTTTGCTACATTTTCAAAACAAGCATAAATTCTTGTTTCCACTCAATTAGTGTACTCCACTTCACCTTTTCATGCCAGAAAAGAGAAAAACGGCAAACTATTCGGACCAAAGGCATGCATCAAGAGATGGCCACTCGCTCGGCTGGTTTGCATGCATCAGAGTGTGGCGTGTGTTGTAAGTCTAATAACATACTGATCCCAGGTCTGCGGAGAGCGGGCGCAAAGAGGAGGCTGAAGAGCGCGAAGATGAGGAGCCGTGGCGGTCTCCGTGACTTAGGGTGCGTTTGCGTTGGCGAACAAGGGCCTTCTGATGCCTCTTCATCCTCTCCAGCTGCTCGTCCGCACTCATCCTCCCTCTCTGCTGCTGCAGCGCTGCATCCCCGGAGTACAGGCGCTCCAAGGCACTTTTGGGTCTCTCCTGGGAGAAGACAGAGGGGGTGGAATCACAGGCAAAAGGTGCAGCAAAGGCAAAAATGAGGAAACAAGTTGATAGACCACATTTATTATTATTTTTTAAATGTTCCATTAAATGCTTTTATAACAATTCTCTAATGTGAAATTATTACAAAAAAAGTAAGGAAACAGAATGTACAAGCAAGTCCAAAACACTTTGTAATAATGTTTTTCCCTTAAAATGGTGTTACATACAACTTTACTGGCCATATGCATGTAAAACACCCAAGCAAAACAACACTTTATTATTCATCTATTATGTATTTTATTAAGCATTTTAACACAATGCAACTGATCCGCATTGTGCAATATTATGAAAAAATTGAATTAATTATTAGTGTTGAATTAATGTATGTTAGTTATAAAGGGAACTGTTTGCAATGTTGGCACAGAAATATTTTTTCCCACTTTCTTCATATCATATTGTAAGTTCCCACTTTTCCTTCAGTATGAATTCATTTCCTTTCATTTTCTCCAGGTCTCACCTTCACAGCGACAGCTGATGCTGCTCTTCGAAGAGTCACATATGAAGAGATGCTGGAAGACTGATTTATCCTAAAAGAGGAGGAAGCCGCTCCTGAGGGGAACCAGCATACATTAAAACACCATTAATTTAAAAGTGAACCAAAATATGTGGGTGGACATAGGGTGGGAGATGAAATGTTAATAAACGAGTTACAGGAAATAAATAGCTCCACTTACCTCTGCCTGGTAACGTCTGGTAACCTCCATCATGTCCTGCTGCAACTACACTAACCAAACTTGAGCCGTCTCCAGCTCCCATCAACTCAGGGTCACTCAAAAAAGGTCGAAGTTCAACCTTAGGAGTTCATATTTTAGTGTGTAAATTCTTACAAATAAAATATTCACACACTGTATAGAAACAAACCTTTGTGTCTCCATTGGTAAAGTGGACGATTTCTCTGTCCCTCTTGCGTTCGTCAGACTGGCGCTTCAGGCCTCGTACAGACGTGTGGCGAATCACTGTGGTTTCTTTGGGCAGCGGGGGCACAGCGGGCGGGTGCTCGTTGGGACTGTAGAGCTGAGGTAGAGGAGGGCGGGGGGGCACATCTTCCTCACCCTGACAACAATTAAGTTAAGTAATATGCATTTCTGTTAAGTAATTTCTTTCAGAAGTTACAAATGCATGAGATCTATTCAAGGATAATAGCCAGTTATTAGCTTAGTTGTAATCATCACCAGTTGGTATTGCAATTACTCAACAGAGGAAGACAAAATTGCAAAATTATGTAATCAAATATATTTTCTTAGGACATCATTAGTAAAACAAAAACAAAAGTTCATTAAGGTTTGGTTTCCCAGAGTGACTAAAATACTTGTTAAATGTTAGTCAAACAGAATAAAAATAGTTGTATCTAATCTATCCAGTGTGCTATAAACAATACAGATCACTATAGACTAATAAATAAATAATCAAAATACTACAGACAGAGTGCCACATACCCATTTATGCCCAGTGGTGGGAGGTGTCGAGTACAATGGCTGCTCCATGCTGAGGCTGGAGGAGAGGGAGGGGGTGTGGCCAGCGGGGGTGAGGTGGGGGCTGAGCTGCTGCTGGGACAATCTCATCTCCACAGCAGACGGGCTCCCAGACACGCAAGGCACTGACGACGCCGACACTGAAGGCACAAATTTCCTCTCTGGGGGAAGGCGAGAGCACATGTAAAATGAATACGCACGCCGTAAAGACAGTGCTTTCTCCTCCCGTGGGAAGCGTTTAAGCTGTTTATTATTAAAGGCTTTAATGTTAAGTTACAGCAACATGTACGGCATAAGACTGCTCCAGAGGTGGGACCAACTCTTTGTTTCGCAAGTCTCAAGTCAAGTCCAAAGTCAAGTCTCAAGTCAAGTTTCAAGTTTCAAGTTTCAAGTCTCAAGTCAGAGTCAAGTCCAAGTCCTACGTTTTGAGTTTAAAGTTGAGTCTTTATACCAAATAACCAAATACAGGTTGTATTTTCATCCTACTTAAAAAGTCCTGGTCATAAATGAACAAATAGGGAGGGACATACTGCAGTTTGTTCTGGTAAATTATACACTTACTGTATTTGTACTGTATTGATCCACAAGGGAAATTATTTGGACACAGTAGTTCACACATCTTAATATAATACAAGAGCAACAGTATAAATGTCAATAATAAATTCAAAACAAGTAGCAAAAATAACAAAAGTAAATAACAAAACTAATGTCCAAGACAAGTCCAAGTCAAATCCCGAGTCTTAGTCCATTTCAACATTTTTATACATAGGGACACATCTCACCTGGGTTGGTTATTGAGGAGACGGTAACTTTGTAGTTGGTTTTATTTGCACTGAGGCCTGCAATGACATCTTCAATCCTCCACAGCTCTTTTCTGATCTGCACCTTTTCCTGCTGCTCACAGAAACAAACAGTGGATATAGACCTGTGATAAACCCAGTATATGCATTCTTTTAAGTTACATGAAACATGTCAAAGTGTAATGACAAAGAGTGTCAAAACATGCAACCTCCATCACAAATGATCTGCCTCTTGTCTATATGGATTTGTCTAGAGTTGCATTGTTGCCGACATGATTCAAAAATCAAATGCAAGGGTGTGCTCCACTTTTTGGTCTTGGTTTGAGTCCAGTTTTATTGTTAGATAGACTTGATTTGGTCCTGTTCCTAGTCCCAGTTTATCTAGTTTAGTTATGTATAAAACATATCATCAAAACTTGCTTTTTCAACAATTACACCCATTCAAAAAAGTAATTATTTGCATGAGATTCACAGACCTGAGTGAGATCACTACGGGTCATCTGTCCTTGCAGGGCTGACCTGAGCCAGTCCACATCCTTCTCCAACCGTGTATATTCAGTCCAGGCATTCTCCATCTCCTAAAGAAGCAAGAAATACACCCATCAAACACTGACTTAGTAAATTCAGTTGTGAATGTTAAACTAAAGAATATTTAATTTAGTTGTACATGTTGCATTTAATCCTAGTACTATAAATTACAGAAAGCATAATCAGGGTAAGATTTGCGGTAAACATAGGCAAAATATATATATATGTAATTTTATAATAATATAAGGTGATGTTTTACTGTTGATGCTTTAGATATTTCAGCTCTGATGTGAACCACATCCTCTTGGAGTAATTTCTGCTGGTAGGCGATCTTCTCTGCGTGTGCGGGCTGATCTCTGTACTGCTCCATCTGCTGGTGAGACACATCCAGTACAGACTCCAACTTGTCCTGGATGGGAATAAGAGAGATTACATAAAATGTAATTATAACACAATTGTTTTTCAAATGTGCGAATTTATAAAAAGTGTTTTGTACCTTGTCTTCTTTCAAGGTACGCATCCTGGATTCAAGCTCTTGTAAAATCTTGTCCTGTTCACACAACCGACTTAGTTTAACCTATAGAAAACATATATTCAACATAGAAAATCAAAAACTGACGATGGCAGCATTAGTTCAAAACTTCTTGTGAGGTTTGCATCTGCTTATCACATGATTTGTATACTTTTCATGCAGCCGCTGTATCCTCTCTGCAAACCCAGTAAAGGCAAACTTATTGTCTATTCGCTGTACACTAAATATGTCAGCAAGTTTCCGCTATGTGAAAAGCCCCCGAGGAATTTATCTCAACAGCTCAGTGGGAGATATCAAAAGACTGCATACTGTCTAGTTTGAAGGCGAGATCGGGTAATGCCCATTATGAGTAATCATTATCAAAAATCCATATTTTCAAATTCATTTTTTGCAGAAAGAATGTTTATTGAGAGTGACAGATTTGTTTTTCCAGAAATGGGTTATATGTTTACGAAAACAACATAGGACTGCTTAGTTCACAGTCTCTCTCACACAGTGTATTTTTCCTCAGATCTATTTATCATTCTGTTCAATTAATTATTAAGCTGTTTTTATTTTGCTGCCGTATATTGTTGTTTTTTAATTGCATGAAATATTCATTGTTCAGACAAATTTACTGGCAATGTCTTATAAATTGTTAAAGCGCAACAATGCTAATGATGAAAAGCCAGGACATCCATCTTATTTACCTCCATTCAGCAGAAAACAAAGACTGAGAGAAGCAGGATCAGGCTAATCAAACTGAAAAATTTAACAGCTCAACATCTTAAAACTCCCATTACATGTATTTTTCTCTTTAAATTGTAGGGAGGAAAATAAAGCTGTGGTTGATGCACTCAGTGTGCTGTGTGCAGGCTGTCCCCCCAGTGTTGCTATGTACATACGTTCCCTTCACTTGGCAGCGTCTAGTTACAAAACTTAAGGGCAAACATGCAATCACACTGAGCATTTGAACTGAAAAGTCAAAATAAAGCCAACCCTTCTTCTCTAGTAGACAGTGAAAGGAAAAAAAAAGCTGTTTGTCAAAAATGTTTCTTTAAATTATCCCCAAAACATAATTATTCACTTACATCAGCATCACTCTCTGCTATTCTCACAGGCCTTGATGGTCTTTCTTTTTTTAGGCTTTCACATCCAGTAACCTGCAATCCCCAACAGCCACAGATGACATCAAATATTTAAAACCAAAGCCAAAGTGAAAAACACGCTATTGTATAAAGTTTTAACTGTCAAGCGAGGTGCACTTATGACAGGGGAAGAATGCATTGGCCGGTACAACAAAATGCAGGCAAAAATAAGAAAGCCAAGGATGTTCTGTTACGAAATAATCTATTTCCACACAAAAAAGGGATGGAATAGGCTATATTAGTTTGATGCAATAATTAGTAATGTGTAATGGGTCCACTGTATGTCTTCAACTACATCTTCTACTGTAGTTAATAACACACAGAGAGATGAGCAGAGCCACACCCTACATGTAAATACACAACATAGAGTGCTGTTCAGTTCAGACAGAGGGGCACACCACCTATTTTACATAATACCAATTAACAAGGCCTGGGAAACACTACAGGCCTGTGAGAACATAAGCAACTATACAGTGTTCTGTGGTTCTGAAGGGCCATGAGAAAGGGACCAGTCAAAAACTCAACCCATATCACAGAGATGGCAATTTGGCAACTTGAAATGTAATTGCTTTGAGTGGGAACACAGAAAACACTGCAAAATTGGCAAAGAATTCAATATAACTGATCTTAAAAAGCCCATCATTCTTTCTTGTTTATCATGGTAAAACTGATGCCCTGAGTGATAATGACTAAACATTTTTGTTTTGTTTTGTTTTGTATGGTTTCATGAGCAGAAAAAACACGAGGTGGGGATCATCATTCTTGGCAGCATGCTTCTCATTGTATAAAATCTTTAAAACAAATACTCATACAAGATTTGCATTACTTACTGAAGGATGCAAGGCATTTCATTAGAAAATAAAAGTGAAATAATTATTTTCACTTTTCAAGCACACTATCCTTACATTCCAACAGCACCCAAAACTTGGAGTGGAGTTTTTTTGTGTTAAAATGATCATCGGGTCAATACACTGAATCTGTTTTAAAACAGGAAAAGTAAGGAGAGGTATGACAAACAAGATGTTCAAAGGTTAACTTCTCTTGCCAATGAAAATTTGAAAACACACATGAATGCAGCAGTAATTCATTCATGACAAGCAAAACAAACATTATTCCATGTAATAACCACATTTACACAAAGCAGTTAAGTGAAAGAAAAACTATTCAATAAAGCAATAATTTAATCATTACATTATTGTTTATATGAAAGACAGATTTGATTTAGTGGGGACTAGTCAAGTACTAGTCACTATAGAGAACAAAGAGCATGGGCAAATGACAGACAGAGGAAATGAGACCAGACAGGTTTTGTTGAGCTCACCTTCAGGTCTAGATACTCCAGGTCCTTCTTCAGTTGTATGTATGTGTCATCCGCCTTAAATGAGCGGTGAAGAAATATATCATATGAAATGGTTATTGGTAAACATGTAACATTATTGTTAATACTCTAAGTCACCTGTCTCCTGACAAATACATGAACACAGTTGCATCCAAAATTACTTGAACTATGATCATGTTTATGCTTTTATTGTTGTGTACATAGCATGATCAAAACGAGTTTGTGTTGATGAAACCTGTTTGATAAACAAACTGAATGAAGTAACTATTCCTGTGTACCACTGCAGAATCAGAAATCTGGAACAGAAAGATTCCTGTATCTGCAGTTTGGCCTTGTTGTGAAACTGTCTCAAATGAAGAGCGGTGTTCATTTATCCTCTCAGCACACAGAAATGTTGATCAAATCTTCATTGGATGTTAGAGATTTTAAACAATAAAATACTGTTCAAATATTACACAATTAACAAGCAACATGCTTTTATGGTGGCATACAAATTTCTGAACAAAAAATGTATTTATTAATGTGTCTAGGCACAATGCAAGACAGCTAAGCGAGCTAGCAGGCTGCACAGACATATGAATGGCAGGAGACATGTAGGGGCTGGACTTAGGACATGGACCACTGGGGCAGAGGGACAGAATAGGGTGAAAGGTCATGCCCCTGACCTGTAAGCTGGAGCCTAACAGGCCGTTGTGCTGGTGCTGCTGAAGGTGAGCAAAGGCCTCACTGGGGCTGTGCACACCCGCCAGCTGGGCCTGGTGCCTCCGAAGCTGAATGAGCAGCAGAGTCAGCTCCTCAGGCTGCAGCCAAGCCCAGGTTTAGGGGCCAGAGGCCAGAGAGAGCGCACAGGGACAAGAGGAAATGCTTAAGAACCATCTGGGCAGTACAGATGAGAGCGCAAACTACTGGAATGCTGCTCAACTTTTTAACATAAGTCTTTTACAAAATAGTAATATATTTGCATATGAAACAAACATGAGTTAAAACTTTAAAAAATAACATAACACTGACATATTAAAGTTGTGGGATAATGTCTCAGGTTTATAGCAATTAACAACTTTCTATACTCGTGAATGAAGCATAAATTGGGAATTAATTTATCAAGTTGTCCTTCCGTATGTATTTTAAAAAGAAAAAGTGTGGCTAAATAAACATACCGTTTTTCCATGCAGGCTTGGTGCACTGACTGTGTGTGTGATATAGCCCATGGCAGGCATGGACCGTCTCTCTATCTGGGAGGTCTGTGAAGAAAGTAGATTCATCACTGTGTTATTACAAAAATAAAACACTGAATCAAACAGAATGTCTAATTCACAAACACTAAGCAATCTTCACAAGTGTGTAGCCAGGGAGAGGCCACTCCATCACACTCAGTCTAAGTTAAAATATTGCCTCAAAGTATGAAAACAAACTTGACTACACAGCACATTTATTTTCTCATCTATCCCTTTCTTACTTTTATCGCCTCTACTTTTATATAAAAACAAGGTGTGCCCTGAGTTTCTGATGCTACAGGGCTACCAACATTTGACATTTTTGCTTAACACACAGAATTAGCAAAAACCAAGCCCACTACTGAACCTTAAAAGGACACAAATAACAAGAGATTTAATTAACTACACATAAATTATACTAAACCTGCTTTCTTAAAATAACATTTGTTTGCTACCAGCAAGAGCAGCACTGTAAGCCATTCCCTTTGAGAATCCCATGCCACTATTTTTTGCTGTATAATAGGTTTTTTATTTAAATGTGAGATCAGAAGAAAGAGACCGCTGCTGATGTTTGAGATACAGTGGAGATGTTTATAGGGTGCTCAGATGCTCTGGGCAAATTGGATTAGCTGCTAATAAAATATACTTCTTAATGATTTTCCACAGGGATCTACCATACACCAGTATGCTATTACTTGAGACCGCTCAGGCTGTAGACGCTGGGTGCACCAAAATGAATATCATCTGTGCTGGACTAAAAGTAGTTCCCTTAATGCGGCTCTGCTACGGGCCAAGCAAAGTCACTGTGGGTCTCTTTGTTAGAAGTGTATCTTTTTCCACAGCACTCCATAATTGAGTATTGCTTGATTTTACAGCTGTAATTAGTGTCTTGACAGCAGGATAAAAGATGGATTAAAACAGAGCATCTGCAGCACTTTGTTTACTTGTGTACGGCCAATGGGCTGGTTTTGAGGCTTGTGTGTGTTGGCGTATGTGGTGATGGCTTGGACAGAGTGCTTTTCTCATGTGGAGGGTGTGGTAGGGAGACAGCGCAGGGTGTGGATGACAGAGCCGTCTCCTGCGGCAACAGTGGTGCTGTCTGAATACTCCAGCGCAGAAGTCTCTACTCAGACATGCTTGCACCACCTGTGGGGCGGCAGAGGGCGTAGACTGTGTGAATCTGAAAATGTTTCACATGAGCAATAAAGTGAGAGCTGTCAGTACGTTTGAGTCTTCTCAGGGAAAACACTTGAATTTTCCCATGGTTTTCTTCGTGAACTCACAACACTCGACAAAATAGGCCAGTAAACAAATGACAAGCACAAGATGTCCTGAGAACAAGAGTTTTACACGGATGCACCTAGTTCAACCACTATAACATGAATGGACAGGGTGGGACTCCTTTCTTACCATAATTATCTACAACCCTTCATCACATGCTGGATGTGGTTAACAGTCTGTAATATTTGTAAACATATTTTCTCTCCAAAGTATTTCAGTATTGAGGTCTAATTAATTAGTTTGGCATGAAACAAGGGGAGTCTACTAATTTGCACATGTAGCCTCAATTTCCTTAAAGTTAACAAAAAACTAGAGATAGGCCAATATATCAGTTTGATATTTGCTTTTTTAGATATCAACCATATCCAAATCAGGTTGTAAACAGATGTTTGAAAGATTAAAGTTATTGCAAAATATAATATTGTTTATATTTTCATATTAGAGCAGTATATTGAAAGTAACAGTTATTAGTTTATATAGTCCCCAATAGTCTAGTTAATGTATCTAGATGAGTGGAAAAAGAAACAAGGGTGGTACACAAGAGTGATCCAAGGAGGAGTAAATTTGTAAATTTGTGCCCATTTCAGGGCCCCTGTTTATTAAGAATGGTCTTACCTGTGAAATATGACAAAGATGACCTGGCGAGCTGGCTCTTGTGCTATCTTGTGCAGCATCGTCCAAAGGCCTTACTGTGCGTCGGTCTGAGGGAGTGTGCGGTCTTCGTGGGGACAGGGGCTTAAAGGTAGTGGGTATAGACGGTGGGACTTCACATGGGGAAGGAGGTACAGAGATGGACCTAGGCATCTCCACGGTAACTCTAAATGCTGACGAGTCGGTGAAGTTAGGACCGCTGTAGATAGGAGCAGTGGGGCTTCCATGGCGAAACTGTTGGCGCTGCTGCCACTCGTACAACTGCCACACCATGCCCTCCTTGGTAGCCATTCGCTCATCAGTGGACATGCGGAAGTGGCTGAGTCTGTCGTGGGCATATTTGTAATCACTGGGCAGGTTGGACGCTGCAGGAGGTGAACAGCTGCCCGACGGGAGGCGAGGGGACTTTGGCAAAGACTGGTAGGCGGCATCCATTGTGCTGGTTTTTGGCTTCAAGGGTGGCGTACGATGGGGAAGTTGGTATTCAGAAGTGGCACTAGAAGGTGGAAAATAAAAGTAAACTGAAGGAATACATTTTTTTTTTTTTTTTTTTTTTACCATAAATACAAATATTTTTCATGGATTTCAACTTCATGTCTATTTAAAATATCTAATGTATTTTTTTAATGTTAATTGCTATGACCATTTTTAATTATTACTTAAATTAATTTTCATCTCTCTGAAGCCCATGAACTACAGACATTAAATGCAGACTTCTTGCTGAGGCATAGTTAATTTTTATTTTATTATTATTAATTAATAGTTATTTTTTTATACTAAATAATGTGCCTAATTATGGGATTCATAAACATCTTTATGATATTCACAAAAATATTTGTCTTTCTCCAATGTTCATAGGGATTTCTAGGAATTGCAATACACATTGTGGCCACTAGATGGAGACTGTAAAATACATGACATCCCACAGTGTCCCATCTGTCTCACTCACCTCTTCATGGGATCTCCTTTTTGAACTTTGACCCAATGCTCCACTTGTGCCAGTGTATTTTTCCTCTGCACATGTTTGTCAGTGTCAGTTCTTGTCACAAAACCCCTTTGATAGACAACGTTTCCATTTTGTTCTGGAGGTAGATTGACTTGAACCACAGTGGGGCCATTCTTCTGTGCATCACCAGTATCAGGCGACAGTCTCTCCTCTGGGGCTGTGCGCTTGGACCTTGGCTGGACCTCTATGCCATACCTCACCTCATCTCTGTGGGCTAATCTAATACTGTGGTCAACTTCTCTGTCTGTTTTACTTGGGCTTTCGGTCTGAGTGGAGTTGATGTGGGCATGGCTGGTTTGAGGGACTGCCTGCTGTGTGGCCTTCTCTGACTGTTCCACGTCCCTTTAAAAAGAAACAAGATTAATGTTGACTCTAAGCTCCAGTTAATCAACCTATTAAACTATTTAGTGCCAGTCAAACCAGTGCCAGTCATGTTTAATGTTGGCTTTTTCAGATGAGAAATTACTGACAATGCAATATATGCAAGCTGTAATATGGAGCTTCTATTTAAATGTACACTACGTAACTTTTTGGTGGGTGTTTCTGGTTATCTATTTTGCATGTATTAAATTGCAGGTGTTTTTATTGCCCTGAAAAACATGCCTTCTTACTGTGTGAGCTGGATTGCCTGTCCACACATTTGGCTTGTCACTACCGATGACATCACTGGCTCATCTTCATGAAGACAGTACATAAGTTTAATTCCATAATAGGGAATAATCCAGGCAAAAAATAATATCTCCATGGAGACATCATATAATTGTCCTATAACATGCAAGTACAAAGAGTACACTATCTGTGGTATCAGTCTAAATAGTGAATTTAACCAGTTTTATAATTGTTTCACATTTTCTGTTCTTGACTATTTAATTTCATTAACGGAGGGATAAATAAGGATCTTGCTCTGAAAAAAGCACTGTATCAAAACAGCCTTTAGGTGGCATTATTGTGCAATGCAAGCTGGTAACACCTCGCTGATCTTTAGTAGTGATTTTACAGAGTCAATACTGCAGAAAAAAATCTTCTAGTGAGTGCCTCTGGCTACATCCTGCATCATTATGGTTGGTCCAAGTCCAGATGCAGTGCAGCCCGGCCCCTAAAATCTGCAGCCCTGTCCCTGAGCAGACAGGCTGGACCTGCTGTGAGCTGTGCATGTGCAAGTGTTGAATGTTTTCAGTTATAAAAGAGAACAAACAACATCAGAGTGTGACCTTGTCTTGAATAGACACATTGGACAGCTTAGCCCTTTGTCATTTCAATATCCCCCTGAGTGCCATGCGGCTGCTGCCTCAAGTGCAGGGTCCTGAGCGAGTGCGACCAACCTCTTTATAGTGTGACTCTGCTGCATCAGCGCAGCCTGGTTCATGGCCCGGATCCAGCCATTCATGTCCTCCTGTGTGTCCGCACTGAAGAAATATGTCCGCATCCCGCAGTGTTCTGCCTGTGAGCCAATCACAGAGTTCTTATTGTAAATGTAGGAGCGCATTCCTGTATGGCTCGCCTATCAGAGAGGGAGACATTGAGAGAGAGAAGGGGGATAAATGAGGGAACTGAGCAGGAAGTAGCTGCCAGAGAGGCTGATGGGTAAAACATGCTCCTGCAACAGGACTGACAGCTGGTAACTTTGGAAGGAAACAACAAACATATTTCTGTAGAGAGTAAACAGAAGAAAGAGGATGCTGATTATAAACTGCTTTCCAGAAAAGACTGACTATGAACTATAATAAATTATCTACCAATAAACACAGTTATATAACACTAGATTAAAGTAAGTGCATAAAAACTGATAAGACAAACACAATGAAATGAAATAACTTGGTTCAATTCTGTAAAGCAGTGATGGATATAAAAACATGTCAAAGTTTTTATTATCAAATTTTTATCTTAATTTTCTCAAATTAAGCTTGAACACATTTATGTGCAAGAGACAAAGAGTGAAAGTGATAAGATCCAAAACAAACTGTGCAATCTATGAAGAATGTGGGAAAAACATTTTAGTGTGTTCCCACCTCACATGATGAGATAAGTGAAATGCAGCGGGACTGTACAAACACCAAGCAGATGTAACTCTACAGCTTCATTACTATCAATTCAAATCACCATACATTTTATATAATTCAGTGTTGTAACTTTTTAAATCTCAAACCTGAATTAGTTAGTTTATACTCAGAAACAACCCCCTTCCTTGTGTTCTGAAAGATCACTTCACAGGGATTTGTTCTTGCTATAAACAGAAATACATTTCTGATGCAAATTATCATCCATCTTCGTTTGATGCAATCATTTGAATGAATTAAGTTTTTGTAATTTCAGTGTATGCTCACATACACACAATTTAAATACAAATACAAGGACTTATCACTTAAATTCTTCTTTTAAATCTATGTGTTGGCATTTTACATAAGTCACACAGGATCAATGCTTAATGTACATTTAAAGAAATGCACATTCAGCAGCTACTATGAAATGAAATGGCAATGGCAATGACAGAGCATTGATGAGATAAAATCAAATACCTATTCATGCAAGACAGGAAGCCTGTGTAAGTCAGGAGAGCCACCTGCAGACAATAGTACTCACTCCGCCCGTGCACACACAGCAGGTCACAATGGAAGCAATTGACCGACACAGAATGAGAGAAAGATGACAGAAATTAAGCCATACAACCAAAAGTTACCAAAACAGTTGAGGATTGAAAAATAAAAAACAAAGTGGCCCACAAAAGAGCAAATGAGTGGTTAAAATGAACATTCAGCCCGTTAAACCCAAATGCACAAATGTGTATGTTGTTATATTAAGGGAATAGAGAGGTCAGTCTGGGTCAAAATGTGTGTTTACTGTACTTTTGACTTTAAGGAAACAAACATTTAGTATTTCTAAACTGTACACGTTTATTGTGCATACAAAGAAGAGCTAAGGGGGAAAGTTACTTAAGAGAAGGTTATGCAGCAGACTATAGTCTCGTTTCACCTAACCGTACAATGTCTCCCCCGCGAGCAGTGGGAGGAGATACTGAAGTGCTGCTGAATACGGCCAATGCATAATTAATATTCCCAGCAGCAGAATTAACATACAAAATCCATTGTTGTATCCTGGAGATAAAAGAGCATTTGCACAGTCTCATTCACAGATATGTTCTCAGCAGACAGTCACGCAGAGATCTGAACACAATATGAGAAGTGAAGTACAAAGAGCTGGAGAGGAGGGATTGCAGCAGAATGCCCCGAAGCTGCAGTGGTGCATCAAACATTCAGGCACTATTGTTCTTAGCTACAAGCTCACTGTTTCCACAGAGGAGGAGCTGGGAGCCTGTAACCACTAGACAGACATGCTCCTAATGCCTATTGGCAGTATCCACAAAAGAAAGATGAAAAAGACATAGAAAAGACACATGAAAGAAAAGCATTTCAAGCACACTTATATGAACAAATGGCAGAGTATAGATGTAGCAGCTTCTATCATGTTCTATTAAGTGTAAGAGTACACTTCTAAACTATAATGATTTCCCTTGGTATCAAAAAGTTTATACTCCTTAGCAGTTAAAGTAATAATAAAAGATAGTGTGACTTTGAGTACAGATTTTTACAACATGGTCAAACTTCATGGTCCATTGCATAACAAAACGCAAAATGTGCTTATAAAAATTGGCCTATGCATATTTAATTATTAAATGCAAGTTCCCATTATCTGTGCAATAATTACTTTCAATTTTTTTAATCAAACCTCAATAATTAAACACACCTACCCTATACTATATCATGTCTTTACAACACAAAATTTGACTATGCTGCATTTTCTATTTTTATTCATCCATTTCCAGTCATGCTTACAGACAGCAGGTGATTTATTGTTATCCCATCTGACTTGACAGCAATGAGGTGGGGTACAACCCAGACAATTACCAATAAATTACAAGACTCACAACCATTGTCACTGATATAGCCGCCTACGGGCAATTTAAAATTAATTATCCATTTAGTCTTCTTCTTCCCTAAGGGCTTTTTCTTCCAGGGATGCTGCATGAAATCACCTGCCTTCATGCATGCACTCATTTACTTATTGACTTAACACAGGTTCTACACAAGAAAGTTTGCTTGGTGCTACTATGGCCATTTATTAAGGCTTGGGGAGGGCACACAATATTAAGTAGTTTCCATTATCCATTTAGTAATTATTTTAGTTTTTTAGAGGTTTAAGCAAGCAAAGAACTGCTGTATGACACTAATGGGAGTGGGCAATACAGCGAAATAAACCTAAATGGCAATCTAAACTTCTGGCAATCTGCCCATTTGGAGAGATCAATATATTGCAATTCATTTCAATTGGCTGTTTTTCCTCACTCTTCCTTCTGAGTTGCCAATCAAGATAACATAAAGAAACCAAGTGTTCAAGTACGAAAAAAAAAGATTCAAAATCGTAACTTATGCCTAAAAATGTGAAGGGATTCTTATCATATTGCACATCCCAACAGTTAAGTATTTTCTCAAATCAGATTATGGAAAATGTGTAATTTTTGTTATTTGTTTACCTTAAAAGCGTATTTGCGGTTTATGTGGTCCTCTGGCTCAACTGGTGATATGACGTAACTGGGCAGAGGGATGCTCCCCAGCACTGTCTCCTCTCGACTGTCTGTATGGACATGGACACGCATATATATGTTAAAGTTCCAGGCAAACTGCAGCATTAACAATGTAAGATGTCTGTAATAACTCGAGGCAAATTAGCTAGGCATAATTAATGGGAATCTCCTGCCTGGATGCGGCTCTATGACAAGCATGGGGCAGAAGGTGGCATGTGGCTTATTTATTATTTAGCATGATTGATGAAAAGATTAGCTGACTGCTACACTGCGACAAAAAAAAAAAAAAAAAAACTAAACTAAAGTGGAGATGCGCATACGGCTACAGAGACCAATATGATATTAGATTTCTAATTATAAACATTAATCTACAATTACAACAGTCCCTTTATGGAGTTACAATAGGTCCTGCTTGTTCTATTTAGACCAGCAATTTATTTCATTCCTGCCAGTTAATCCCTAACCAAGTGCAGTTTCCATACACTTACCTTTGTAATAAAACAAGCAGAAGTCTGACAAAACAAACCACTTCCTCTTCCACAGTCGCATTCCAGAGCTGTCCTACAGAGGAGAGAAAAACAGCACAAAATATATTTAGAAATCCTCCTCATAGGAACACTACCATTATTCAATGTCATTTAGAACTGATGTTTGAGGCCTAATTTGGAAACAGAATAGAATAATTTAAACACTCTTCAGCTATAAAAGAGGTAATGAATATGTAATTGACAACTTTATGAACTGAAATGTGTTTATCACAGGTGTAAGATGTCACTTTTCAGGTGTGTGTGTGTGTGTGTGTGTGTGTGTGTGTGTGTGTGTGTGTGTGTGTATCTCTGCTTGTCTCCAATATAACCAAGCTGCTTCTTCTGAGTTCAGAATTGAAAAATTGAAGAAGCTTGGATGACAGTTGACAAATTGAATTTCTGCTTTGCCATAGTTTTAATATGATTGTATATTGTTATATTTATTTTATATTATATTTCTCAGTAGCAAAACTTGTTATCATGACAGCACCTTTAAATAACTGCTCTTGTACTAATCACTAATCTCTAACTAAAACACCTGATGAGCAGCGGTTTTATTTGAACAGTAATTTGCAGCTTTATTTGTGCAATTTGAAGCTAATTGTCCAAAAAGAACATAGAACAGAACATCTCACCTGTTTATAGAGCCACCCTCTCACCACCACTGGGATGTTAAGATTTCTTTTAATAGAATGATCCCTTTTGCCGAAACTATGTACTTTTCCACTGCCTCTGAAGCCCTGGTGGAAACAAAGAGGTTACAAATCAGTAACAACACAGGCATGTGCTGGCATTCGTCATCAATTGATCTTCTATTTGCTCTGTAGAGATAAAGCATACCAACATTATTTCACCTAATGTTTTCTGCCTCTTGAGGTGGCACTAAAGTGTAAGGTGCATTCTTGTTCTAACTCCTGCTTTTAGGCATCTCCTTTTATAGTAGCAAGTGAAAACACCCAGCAATGTCTCAAACAGAGCGCTTTGAATTTCTGAGTGAAGATAAGAGCGAAACAGATACCACAACAACATGAAATAATGTGTTCTGACAGATTTAAGAGGCGATTACCTAATCTAAAAAAAAAAAAAAAAAAAAGGAATGTTATTAGCTAAAATATTAGTTAGTCAAAGAGGGATATAATAAGTCCAATTTGTTTTAGTCCATTGCACAAGAAGTTACAAGTCTGTTTAAATCTGTTTATGCTAAACTTTACCTTAAAATAAAAATATATAAAAAAAACATATTTAAACTCTTTGGTTAAATTAAAGTATACATCTTAAAAAAAATCTTTCTAAAATCTAAAAATACATTTGCATTAACAAAAAAGTAAGTCATAAACATGTTAAAAATATGTAAATTAAGTAATTATGTGAACATTTATTTTTTGAAAGAAATTAAACTATGGGTCTTAAACTGCATGAGAACATATGATTTTTGGATGCTAAAAGGATAGGAACATAAATATTTACAACAACACAATAGATAGGCAGTGCAAATACAGTAGCAACATATGTACAGTGCACATTTAACAAAGACAAATATATCTCACCTTTGACCCTGAGCTGCCATCAAGTGGAGCAGTGGTCACAGGTTTGGTTGACTCTGTGACCATGCCAGGGGATCTGTGATTGGCCACTGACTTGGACATGCGAGATTCGATTCTTAAAAAAACACACACAAAAAGAGCAAAAAAGAGAGTAAAAGTTAACAGCAAAGTTAGAAAGTTATTCTTTCATCACAAGTTTGACACACATGGGAGCCGATGCTGAGCTGTCACATAGAAAGGATATGACTATTTCCTGACATGGCCATAGAGCCTCAGCTCATAACAGCAGATATATTACAGTGGAATTTTCCCTAAACTTTCCACTATACTCTGAAGCATGCACATTCAATAAAAAACTATAGCAAGTCTCAAGCTGATAGCATGAACAACATCAATCTTACAAGCAGAGTCGGGCTATCTTTAGGCATTGCAGGCTGCATTTTTCATAAGTTCTCATGACACAAACATATATCTCTAGCTAAAAAAGCCCCTGTAGAAAAAACTGTGTAGTATAAGCAGCTTGTGCCATAGGCGGTCGCAGAAATATGAAAATAGATTTACCACAGAATACATTATCAAGGTTATTTTGTTATGCTTTGGCCTAGAAGACATCATTATGTTCAGTTCAATTATAAAACCTATTCTATATGACAGTAAGCAGTTTCATGAATTGATGAGTTAGACTGTTATCTATGCAGCTCTCTGTGTGATATCTGGTGTAGCCTAACTTAGTTTTGGTTATTTATTAACATCTTTATATGAACTTGCATCATTCTTTTTCACTGAGTTGCATCACAAGGTCTAGCAGAACAACCCCCAAGAATCAAGAATAAGAAGCCAAGGGAGCCAGCACAAAATGTATTCTACTATGCGACAACAAATGTAACCAAAAGTTAATAGGATTTTCTGAAATAAACAAAAAAAAAACAAAAAAACTTATTTTAAATTACATATCACAGATGAGGAAAAGGGTAGGGAATAGGGAATAGATCAATTCTTTCTGGTAGGGTGGTCTCTTTAGCTCTCGCTGTTTCAGTAATCACTTCATTTCCTGTAGATTATTCCTGTTCAAATTTGCTAACCTCCTGTTTGATCTCACTGCAAAGGTGCTCTGCAGGGCTCAAATCTGCAGACCTCGCAGAAATGTGGAGATCACTGAAGTTAAATTAAATAAAGTCACTCTTCGCAAAGAAATAAGTCAATTTAAAAGTGATACAGAGGTTTGCTTTTAGGTAAAGAACTGTCATTTGTAAGGTTTTTAAGGTGTGGTATGATAAACAAGCTAACAAACCAAATTCTGACAAGATGTCTGAGCGATTTGCTGATACAGGAGACAAAATACATAGCATCGTGTGCCAAGACTAAAGCCAGAATGTCAGCAGAACAGAAAGGATCTCACATTGGAACAAAACATACATTATCTGCAGTGTAACTGTGAGGCGGGACAAGGGCCAGTGTTTTTACAGGATGTCTCTGTCCTATCAAAGGCCTGCGCTGTTTTATGTGAGGCTCTCATGGTGTTTACCACCTCTGTCATTGAAATGGTTGCCCGGGAGATTTGTTGTGGCATGTGTGAGAAGAGATATATTTCTCATCTCATTTTGAAAAGGGAAGAAAGACAGTAAGCTCTATCACCTCTCGTCTTTTCGTTGTGGTGGAAATGAGGGCATGTTTTTTAATGCATTTAATCCTTTCAGGCAGCAGGAGCACAGAAGAAGCACTGACGAATTGATGATCGTGTGATAATCAATAATGGAGTCACAGCCTTGAGGCGGCTGAAGTATAGACTGATGGAGATCTGTCTGGGGACCAGGCTCATCCTCGGCTTTGTCCTGATCTGACACTGCTCCTCCTGGGACTCCTGCCCTGCTTTCATAGACACACCAAAGGAGCCCGGCATTTCCTATTCTTTTACACAACATATTTTTCAAGTGTTGACGCCAGAGGACTGAAACTTTAATCCATCTTGTAAACACTACATATATTATAAAACTGGCCGATTAGAATGTTGAACTGAAATGTCCTCGGCCAGAGTAAGTTTATCTGAGTACAAGCAACTCAGCAGAACTATGCATTCTAGTGCACCATTCCTCATTTGGCCGGAAACCAAGAGGTGATGCAGCATTTCAGCATCTATTAACAGGATATGGAGTTTTCCTTTATTGTGGAACAAAATATAGCAGTGTTCGAAATCTCTGAGTGTGTTCAATGAATTTGTTACACTGTTAGAAAAAGAAACACTGCAATATCTAAAAAGTAGTCTGTCATTACATCAGTAGAAGTCTGTCATAAATCACAATATATCGGCACAGAGAAATATTGGTACAAACGATAATATTGAAACAACTTTTAGTCACTGACAAAATAACAACAAAGCAAGATAATCCCAGTAAACCAGTTTTAAAATAAGGTTTAATCATTAAAAAGCCTGAGCTGCAACAAATAAACAGAAGAATGAAAAAAATATTAGCCATAGAAGTTATTTATTCTACCTTCTACAGCCCAAATCTTATTTATAACATAAAAATCTCATCACTTTTGCAAAGAAATTGTACACACGATAAACACTGCATAATTATCATGAGAGGTCTACTAAAAAAATGCCTTGAAATGAAATGGTGAAGTTGCAAATTCATTATATTGAAGCTCCAACCTAATCTTTGTGGCATTTCCAAGCTCTGGCAAATAGAATGGATGCATTACATAGGACATTAATTGTAAAATGAAGTAACAAACCATATGTAATGGCATTTATGTATTATGACGCACATACTTCTCTGGCAAAGCTAATCCTAAAACTAATTTAGGGAGAATAAGATGTGATCAATTGCAATTAGGCTTGAATAGCTTTAGTAATCGCCCAGGGTGTTTGTGTCTTTCAACATATTTGTGCCCACAGAGGAATCTTGGCGGCTCCAGTGATCTTCTTTCAGCAGCAGCTTAAATGTGATCTAACACCTGCTCTGTCTATGGAGCCTTAAACCTGCCATGGAGCTCTGACAGATTTGCAGGAACAACAGTGAATGTGGTTGTTGTAAAATAATGACAATTTATGGTGCAAACACATGAAAACCCACTGATATGTTAATCAGCAAAGTATAAATCTTATACAGAGCCAAAGAATAATAGTGCCATAAAATACAAGGTAGTAATTTCAATAGATCCTATCTCTTCTGTCAAAACATCACATGGTAAAATTAAAAACAGTATCAGTAACAAATAGTAACGTGTAAAAAAAAAATAATCAAGTTATGGACCAAACAACTTGAAAATACAATCAAGACTGAAAGAACATAAAAAAACAGCTGTTTCGTGTTAAGTGACTTTTACCAAACAATCAGGCAATTGAAATAGTTATTTAATAGCAGGTCATTTGTTTTGTTTAATGTTGTGTCCTCATCAAAAACATACCTGGAGATGTGTTTTGTTTCTTTCACACGTTTGACAGACTTTTCATATTTAGGCTGAGTTCTTCTCTCAAATAGAAACACTCTGTTCCACCTTGTGATATCATGTATTAATACAAGTGCTCCATTGTGTTTTTAAACTCCACACACCTTCACTATTATCATTTGGATAATTTCAGCCAAGAAATGTCCAATCTCTACTAAACAAAAAGTAAAAGATGACTGTTAACTTGAAAACTACTACTTCATGACATCACAAGGTGGAACAGAGCATTTTGAGCTTTGGAGATGTAGACAGATGAATAATAAAAGTTATTATTCTTCTGTACTATACTGAAATACGTGTGAATGAAATAAAACCAGGTAACCAGGTATGTTTTGATGAGGTAACAACATTTTAAAGTGGCTTAAACTTCACTACAGTCAATTTTGCGCAATATAGAATCAGTTTTTTTGTTTAAGTATTTTTAGATTAAACAAAAGGGAACATTAGCCGATTAGCTGACTGAAGCGTCAGATTCATGATAGCAGATGTGATATGAGCACAGCTTAAGGCAGCAGGAATCATTATCATAAACTTTATTAGGACATTAACTCCACAGTGTTTGGGACACACAGCTAACAACAAGAGCAAAGTCACTTCTGACAGCCATAAAAGCCCATCGAGTCACAGTAAGTACATCTCTCCTCCCTCTATTCTGTGTCCCTAATTAAAAGTTAATTGAAACAAAGTCGACTGTTGCAGCTGAAAGCCCTCCCTCTAATGATCTGCATCGTGAGACTTGGTGACAGGCTATTTTTAGCCTCCCATGACCTTGGACTAACCTCTAACCATTTTAGAATTTCCAAACATGCAGATATATACGTAACAGGGCACTCACCTGTCCTGTAGCGTGTATTCTGTGTTTTCAGGGGAGATCTGTCCAGTCACTGGATGTCGGAACGTCGTAGCCCTCACGTTGTGGCTTTGGGACAGGAATGGGATGGGGAGAGAAAACAACACCAGAGAAAAACATCAAATTAGAGTCATTAATCATATTTGTGTCTGATCATGTCCAACCACTGGCCCATTCTACTATTGAATTCGGGTTACAACTAAATTACACTATCCATCAAGTATCTCCAGCTTACAAGTGCATGCACTAGTAGTCAGGTCAGTTAATGTTATAAGCTGCTAAGTCACTCTATGTTCTCTTCAAAAGTTTACCAAGCCCTACTGATCTCAATTACATGGAGTCATTTATTACTTAAACTAGAGGTCATAAACACATGTTACTACGATCTCCAGACAGAACAAGTCACCTTCAGATTTATAGTTAAAGCATTGACTTTCTGGGCACTTGGTTTGGTAATAAACTCTCTATGCGCCACAGCTGAGGAGCAAAGAGCAGTGGGGTCAAGCCTTTGGTCATTTATAACAATCTGCTCTAATGTTATATACTGGACGGTCCTGGCCATTGGCTCCAACAGAAGATTGAGCGATTAACCTCCACATGTCATTTCAAGTCACGTGTCTGGGACATTTAAGACTGGATTGGGCTATCTCTGGGGTATTTTGTTGCTAATTTTATTACGGTTAGCATTAGAGGTTCAAAATGTAATAAAAATAAAAAATATTAGAGCATTTTTCTTAAATATGTAGAATTAGAATACTGAGAATAATGATTTTTAAATGCTGTAAAAATGCTTAAACAAAACAAAACTAGTGACGTATAGTATAATGTTTTGCAATGTAAATATAGATTCTTTTATACCAAAATAATTTCAAAACATTCAACACCGAACCTGACCCACTGTAAATATGAAGGTTATTCCATTATAAAACATTTGAAGAGTCTGGTGCAAGGTACTGCAACAACTTAATTCATAACTTATGGATGATGTCCCCAAAGGCAATCTGATACTACTATCACTATGATCAATATTAAAGAGCTCATAGTATGCTATTTTCTGATCTATGTTATAATGTTGTTTCTTCATCAAAAACATACCCAGATCATTTCAACCCTGGAATTTCCAATCTGACATCACAAGGTGGAACAAGTATTTGCAATCTGCTTTGGAGGTGCTGACAGACTAATAATAAAGGATTAATCAGACATGTGTGAAAGAAACAAAACACAACTCCAGGTATGTTTTGATGGATAACAACATTATGACATGGCTTAAAGTCCAAGAGAAAACATTTTGTGTCCATCCATCCATCCATTTTCGTCCGCTTATCCGGGGCCGGGTCGCGGGGGCAGCAGCCTAAGCAGGGACTCCCAGACTTCCTACACCCCAGACACGTCCTCCAGCTCCTCCGGGGGGACCCCGAGGTGTTCCCAGGCCAGCCGAGAGACATAGTCCCTCCAGCGTGTCCTGAGTCTTCCCCGGGGCCTCCTCCCGGTGGGACATGCCCAGAACACCTCCCGAGGGAGGCACCCAGGAGGCATCCGGAACAGATGCCCGAGCCACCTCAACTGGCTCCTCTCGACGTGGAGGAGCAGCGGCTCTACTCCGAGCTCCTCCCATGCGACTGAGCTCCTCACCCTATCTCTAAGGGAGCGCCCAGCCACCCTGCAGAGGAAACCCATTTCAAGCGCTTGTATCCGCGATCTCGTCCTTTCGGTCACTACCCAGAGCTCATGACCATAGGTGAGAGTAGGAACGAAGACTGACCGGTAAATCGAGAGCTTCGCCTTTCGGCTCAGCTCCCTCTTCACCACAACGGTCCGATACAGCGACCGCATCACTGCCGAAGCTGCACCGATCCGCCTGTCAATCTCCCGTTCCGTCCTTCCCTCACTCGTGAACAAGACCCCGAGATACTTGAACTCCTCCACTTGAGGCAGGGACTCCCCACCCACCCGGAGAGGGCAAGCCACCTTTTTCCGGTCGAGAACCATGGCCTCAGACTTAGAAGAGCTGATCTTCATCCCAGCCGCTTCACACTCGGCTGCAAACCGCCCCAGTGCACATTGCAGGTCCTGGTTCGATGAAGCCAACAGGACAACATCATCCGCAAACAGCAGAGATGAGATCCTGTGGTCCCCAAACCGGACCCCCTCCGGCCCCTGACTGCGCCTAGAAATTCTGTCCATAAACACAATGAACAGAACCGGTGACAAAGGGCAGCCCTGGCGGAGTCCAACATGCACCGGGAACAGGTCTGACTTACTGCCGGCAATGCGAACACAGCTCCTGCTCCGGTCATACAGGGACCGGACAGCCCTTAGCAAAGGGCCCCGAACCCCATACTCCCAGAGCACCCCTCACAGGACACCACGAGGGACACGGTCGAATGCCTTCTCCAAGTCCACAAAGCACATGTGGACTGGTTGGGCAAATTCCCATGAACCCTCGAGCACCCGATGGAGAGTGTAGAGCTGGTCCAGTGTTCCACGGCCCGGACGAAAACCACACTGCTCTTCCTGGATCTGAGGTTCGACTATCGGCCGGATTCTCCTCTCCAGTACCCTGGTATAGACCTTACCGGGAAGGCTGAGGAGTGTGATCCCCCTATAGTTGGAGCACACCCTCCGGTCCCCCTTCTTATACAGAGGTACTGTCCCCAACCGCCACGCGATGTTGAAGAGGCATATCAGCCAAGACAGCCCCACAACATCCAGAGACTTAAGGTACTCAGGACGGATCTCATCCAACCCCGGAGCCTTGCTACCAAGGAGCTTTCCAACCACCTCAGTGATTTCAGCCTGGGTGATGGATGAGTCCACCTCTGAGTCTCCAGCCTCTGCTTCTTCCTCAGAAGACGTGACGGTGGGATTGAGGAGATCCTCAAAGTATTCCTTCCACCGCCGGACAACGTCCCCAGTCGAGGTCAGCAGCTCTCCCCCCGCACTGTAAACAGTGTTGGCGAAGAACTTCTTCCCCCTCCTGAGGCGCCGGACGGTTTGCCAGAATCTCTTTGAGGCCGTCCGATAGTCCTTCTCCATGGCCTCCCTGAACTCCTCCCAGCTCCGAGTTTTTGCCTCCGCAACCGCACGGGCTGCAGCACGCTTGGCCCGCCAGTACCCGTCAGCTGCTTCAGGAGTCTCCCGAGCCAGCAAGGCCCGATAGGACTCCTTCTTCAGCTTGACGGCATCCCTTACTTCCGGTGTCCACCACCGGGTTCGGGGATTGCCGCCGCGACAGGCACCACAGACCTTACGCCCACAGCTCCGAGCAGCCGCATCGACAATAGAGGCCGAGAATGAAGCCCACTCGGACTCCATATCTCCAGCCTCCCCCGGAATCTGGGAGAAGTCCTCCCGGAGGTGCGAGTTGAAAGTCCCTCTGACAGAGGGCTCCGCCAGACGTTCCCAACAGACCCTCACTACACGCTTGGGCCTGCCAGGTCTTTCCGGCTTCCTCCTCCGCCAGCGAACCCAACTTACAACCAGGTGGTGATCAGTTGACAGCTCAGCCCCTCTCTTCACCCGAGTGTCCAAGACACGCGGCCGGAGATCAGATGACACGACTACAAAGTCGATCATCGACCTCCGGCCTAGGGTGTCCTGGTGCCACGTGCACTTATGGACACCTTTGTGCTCGAACATGGTGTTCGTTATGGACAAACCGTGACTAGCACAGAAGTCCAATAACAAAACACCGCTCGGGTTCAGATCAGGGAGGCCGTTCCTCCCAATCACCCCTCTCCAAGTGTCACTGTCGTTGCCCACGTGGGCGTTGAAGTCCCCCAGGAGAACAACGGAGTCCCCAGTCGATGCACTGTCTAGTACCCCTCCCAAGGACTCCAAGAAGGCCGGGTACTCAGCACTGCTGTTCGGCCGACACCACAGTGAGAGACCTGTCCCCGACCCGAAGGCGCAGGGACGCGACCCTCTCGTTCACCGGGGTGAACTCCAACACACAGCAGCTGAGCTGTGGGGCAATGAGCAGGCCCACACCAGCCCGCTGCCGCTCCCCGTGGCCAACGCCAGAGAAATGGAGAGTCCAGCCCCTCTCAAGAAGTTGGGTTCCAGAGCCCAAACTGTGCGTGGAGGTGAGGCCGACTATATCTAGTCGGTAACGCTCAACCTCCCGCACAAGCTCAGGCTCCTTCCCCCCAGCGAGGTGACATTCCATGTCCCCAGAGCTAGTCTCCATGTCCGGAGATCCGGTCGTCGAGGCCCCCGCCGTCGACTGCCGCCCAGATCTCTCTGCACCGGCCCCATATGGATCCTCCCGCGGGTGGTGGGCCCACGTGAGGACGGCCCCACGTCGCTCCTTCGGGCTAAGCCCGGCCGGGCCCCGTGGGGGAAGGCCCGGCCACCAGGCGCTCGCTGACGAGCACCCACCCCAGGCCTGGCTCCAGGGTGAGGCCCCGGTGACACCAATCCGGGCGACGTAACTGGCCTCTGTGTTGCACTCATCATAAGGGGCACATTTTGTGTCATAATCTTTAATATATCTCAAACCAACCCTTTGCACTTTAATTTTTGCATATTTCATTACTAATTGCTAAATGCCATTTTAAGAACTTGCCTAAACTAAAAGTTAATTTAAGAAATTGTCCAAACTAAAACAAACAGTAAATCAAGAGAAAAATAGCCATAGACCAAGAAAGTGCCTGGCAGCCCATTCAGTGCAATAAAAGTGATGACACCGACTGTGTTCAAAAATACACCACAGAAACATTAGGCTTCAAATGTGGTTTTAATTTGCAGTGCTATTTTATTACTGCTTGGCTTTTCACCTCATGTCAGCGTCCATCTATCAAGATCAGTGAAAATATAGTTCTACTGTACATGTTACAACACAATACAGCAAAACAATCCTGCTTGTCTCCATGAAGATTATTACTTTGCCTGGAATGTCCCACAGTGCCTCATTTAGCTTACAGTGTATCTAGCCTTTACTCAACTAAAGATGTTTTAATAAAACAAAAAGAAAAAAAAATATCTTGAAACTGCACTTTTAATCTGTGTGAGATTGCATCTCCATAGACCTGACCAAGACAAAACAATTCATATAAGAGGGCAGT